TATTTTGGAAATAAATAAGAAACAATTTATTAAAAAACCCCAAACAATCGTTGGTCTCCTTCCTGTCACCTAACTGCTGTTGTTCATCATAGAGGTTTGGTAGTTACATAGAACATTGAAGGTCTTTCGATTTACTGACCCAACGAGTGTCTCTGGAAAATTTATGATCAATTTACGCTCGCTATCTTGACTATGTGTTAAATTTGCTAAGAAAATTGAAGGTTAATCAATTTCTTCCTAGTTCCTTCAATTCATAATGATCCGGCAACAAGGAATGGAGGTCTCATGTCTGGTAGTTGCAGATGCAAATTGATTAATGAAAGATCATGCGTAATGACTGTCTTGGCCCATAAAGTTTTAACAGCGGCATACCTCGTATTGTTAGATGGCTTAATTATCTTAACTTACATTAAAGTATTTTAAAAGTAGACATACTTATATCATACTTTTTGTAGTACATAGGCTTAAGTGAGATATTGAAAAAAGTAGAAGGATTGAAAAGAGTAGAAAGGCTTACTTGACCATTTTTCCTTAATTAAATAAAAATTGACACTCATTAGTTTAATTTATATCTAAAAATTGAAAAAACGGGTACCCAGACCGAACCGTTTCAAAATATTATTTTAATACTCTATTATATTTAATATAATATACTAATAACACCCGACCCCAGATTCTTTTAGGATTAAGACTTGGATGTTGTTGTACTAATAACACCCGAAAGCTCTTCATGTTCTTATGTCTAGACAATGACACTCAATTGAAGAAACTTGTCAATCAACTAAAAACAGTTTCTAAATTCATATAAACTCCTAAATATTTTTCCCGATTCGTTATTCCAAAAGCATCAAATTTCTTTCTTCATTTTTTTTTTGCAAATAAAGACTATTACTCAATTTTTCTTTATAATCTTAATTTTTTTGATACTTTGAAATTTAATAAGCTTTAAATTTTTTTCAAGACAAATATGTAGAGTACCTAATTTAATTTCTTATGACTTTATAGTGCTAGTTTTTTAGTTTATGAATGATGATTTAATTTTTTAGTTTTTGAAAAAGGCAAAATAGGTCATAGTTTTGGAAATGCAAAGTCTAGTTGTAATTTTAATGCCATTTTTTCAGTTATTAAATGTGTAGTAAGTAAATAAGAGTTGAGATGTATTCAGCAAGCACCAGTGGTCTAGTGGTAGAATAGTACCCTGCCACGGTACAGACCCGGGTTCGATTCCCGGCTGGTGCAATAATTCACGGGCTAGCGGTGATGAGATTCTACGTTCCTCGGCGATTGGGTCGCCCATGATCTGCTTTGCGGATGAATTAAGCTTATCTGAGCGCCCGTTTTCTTTTATAATATACGTATTTTTAAAATTTTAAGTTACATGTGGGTCCACCCATTCGAAAATCAATCACACATTGCAAGTCTTTCAGCACGATCTGCACATAAAATAACCAACGGATAAAAAAACTATTATGGGGGTGTTTGGCTGATCGGTTAATGACTTTTTTAACCAACGGATAAAAAAAATTGATAAAAAACTAATAAGGGCGTTTGGTTAATGACTTTTTAATTTGGCTTTTCACTCCCAACAGTTAAAAATAAAAATGCCGGTGGATCCAGCGTTTAGGTGTTTGGCCGATTGCTTATTTACAGGATTTTTCCGTTCTACCCGTAGTCCCTTCTATTCTACTCGTCACTTATCTTTTTCCTTGATATCTTGTGGACAAAAGAAAAAAATCAGCGCATCAACGTATCCGATTTTGCTAGTTTAAGGTGTTCTTCTTCCTCTAATGTTTTTTGGCAGTGCTGCCATTCAAAGTAATTTCGTATTTTTCTGTGTATAGCTAGAACACCAAATTCAAACTGATGAAGAGATGTTTTGTTTGGATAATATGATGAATTCAATCCGAAGTGATTAGCCATGAGATTTTGAGGTGTAATTTTGAAACCTTGAAGGGTCTGAGGTGTATTTTTTTAACCATGAAACCATCGTCTTCATATTTCATTGACGGTCATACTATTTTTTTTTGAAAGGAAAAGGACTATATTGATATCATTAGAATCAGGATCGTTACAACAATCTCAAAATGACCATAACTGACAACAACTTTCACCTTCTAACTACTACTCTTAGCCCTAGATTAGACATAGAGGCGACCACTCCTAAAGGAGCCATACAAATCGCTAACCACCAGACGGGCTTAATGTAGCTAATGCTGAAAAAATAGATCCATCCCCCACTAACATTATCAAATCTAGCTGAATCCTCGATCAATGTAAAAAACCTATTACCATAAGCAAATACGAAAAGCAAAACGATAACAACTAATTTCCTTGAAAACAGACTGAAAATGGGGACAATGAATTTATGGAGGATGAACTTATTGAGCCGCTGAAACCAATCTTCCAGCGCGGTGTTCCGACCACTAATCACCCTTTTCCAGCATAGCGGCGGTTTCAGGAGAAGGGCGGATCTTCATCCTTTCATCTTCTTCCTTCACCACCCTGATTTGCCCGTGATTCGCCTCCATCTCTTGGCCAACATACCGCACGAGCACAAGCAGTCCAAACGCAACCAGTCTCCAGATCCCTATCATCTCCCCTGTGCTGTCACGCCCCACCCTGTGCTCCAGATCGGAAACTAGCAAAACTTCGGGACACTGAAACACCAAAAAAGCTATAGCGCCGCCCGCCGAAAACCTAGACTTGCTAGGACCGCCGCCGCCGTGAAACTAAGCCCTTCGCCGCTCTTCTCTCCCCCCCCCCCCCCCCCCCCCCCTCTAAATCGGCACTTTTTGACGATCATACTAATTAAATTCAATGATACTAGAAAACAATGTTTATAAAAATTGTTACTCGTAATAATTTTTATTATTAAACAAAAATCGTGTAAGTAATTCTACTAATAACATTATTAATAAAATATATGTAGTACTACATAAAAGTAGGTAAATAAAAATTAATCAAATGTCTGTAAAAGTCATTTAACAAGTTATCACCTAATTATAAACAACCACTTAACCAAACATTTTTCTATAAACCACCAATATTATCTGCTAATCAAAACATCCAACAGAATCTGTCAATAGCTAACAGCCGACACAATCAGCCAACTCGTAATAATTGTTATTATTAAACAAAAATCGTGTAAGTAATTCTACTAATAACATATATGTAGTACTACATAAAAGTAGGTAAATAAAAATTAATCAAATGTCTGTAAAAGTCATTTAACAAGTTATCACCTAATTATAAACAACCACTTAACCAAACATTTTTCTATAAACCGCTGATACTACCTGCTAATCAAAACAGCTAACAGAATCTGCCAATAGCTAACGGCCGACACAATCAGTCAACAGCTAACAGCCAAGAACCGATCGCCAAACACCCCTATATGCATTAAAAAATTAAGGCTACATCTATTAGAAGTATTTAGCCTCTTAGGGTAACAATTATGAAATGTGCACTTTTCCAAATATAATTTTTTTTAATAAAATAACCAACGGATAGAAATTTGAGAACGGTCCAGTGGCCCAATGGTTGACTTATATTATATAAAATGGTCACTAGCGACCCACACTTATTGTTCGTGATTTATCACTTATCACATAAAATAATCATTAGCGGTCCACTCTTGATTAGGCATCATTTCAAAGCCTCATTATGTCGATAGCATATATAGAATATAGAGTGATTTAAGATGGGACAATATGCATTAAAAAATTTAGGCTACATTATCTATTAGAAGTATTTAGCCTCTTAGGGTAACAATTTTTAAATGTGCACTTTTCCAAATATAAAAAAGTTTTTACGCAGAAACATAATGTGGCCACAAAATGTTTCGATAACAAAATTTTAAAAAAAATAAATAAATTAAGAGTTTAGGGATTGATCTGTGACATCATGTGATCAATTTCACCTTTAATTTTATTCTTTACTAATGCTCACTGCCTTGCAGTCACTATTATACGAATTGACATCATGGTAGACCGTATAATTCATTTAATATTAATTCAGTTAAAGTGTTGAATTATATTTTTGAAATAATTACATATGTATGACTAAAATAAAGAGTATGTTTGGTAACATTGAAATTAGCTGAATTCGTTAGTTCTGCTGAAATTTATGAAGTTTTGGCTGTCGTGGTTGGATTGACTAACATTGAAATTAGCTGAATCGGCTACTTCTGTTGAAATTTATGAAATTCTGGTTGAAGTGGTTAGATTGACTTCTTTTGCTGATTTATGAAGAAGAAGAAATTTAGAATATTTTTATAAATAAAATAAATAAAAATTTATATGAAAAATAGCAAAAAATGATTTTGTACAATAACTTCATCCAATACAGTCAGAAAAGTGACTTCAACCTTACTTTTTTTTTATTGTCACACAATTCAGTGCGCGAAATCAAAAGTTACATATTTGATGAAAAAGTTGGCTGATAAGCCTGATAAACCGAAAACAGAGTCACCAAACGGGCTCAAAGATTGTTTTCAAAAGTGTGATTAGTGACCAGAGTAGTAACGAAATCATAGTATCTTATATTTATTTTTTAAACTTGAATTAACATGACACTACATTGTAGTAACTATTAATCATATTATGTAAATTGGTTTTATTTTAATATTAGTTACCATGACGCTATATTATAATCTGGGGATTTTTTCGAAAATATTACTAAAATAAAATTTATTTACAAAAATATGACTTATAGTTACTACAATGTAATGTCATGGTAACTTAAGTTTAAAAATTGAACATAAGTTACTATGAATACGTTTCTACTCTACTTATTAGTCACATTTTTTGTAAAATATCTTTATTTTAGTCATAAATATTTAATTATTTCTTATAAGTTTATATCTTCATATTTAAGGATGGAGTATTTTTTTAAACGACGTTTTTACCGTTAGGTTAACCGTTTCTCGTTTCCATGTTACAAAGTGAACTATATATATGTGTATGAGAGACATTACGTATATTGCATTTGCCCGTGCTTCAGCTTCCATTGCACTCATTTTACAGTATTCGCTATTCATTCATATATTAATTTTGAGAGTTTCATCGCTGGTTTCTTCTTCAATACGTTCCCCTTTCAATTCATTCAGGTATCATATTATACATATATGCATGTAAGTATGTTGCACATCCCGCAAAACTATACTTTTGTCCATCATTTTCCCTCCGTCCGTAATGAAGTCGAGTAAATTAAATATGACAAATTGACAATTAAATTATACTCCCTCCGCCCAAGAAACAACTTCCATCTTTCCTTTTCGGACAATCCCAAAATTAACTTCGTACTTCCTTGTTTTACAAATTATCAACATCAAAATAGTGCAAAAAAGTATCAAACATTATCCAAACATTGTCCAAACAGTGTCAAAACAGTAAAATTTACCCCCTAGTAAATTTAGTTTCTTAATATGTGTAAAATCCAACAGGGAAGTTGTTTCTAGGACGGAGGGAGTATATTATTGAATCAGTAAATATAAAAATGTTAGACTATTTCTCTACATAAATGTGTTTAGAGGAACATAGCAAATAGCCAAATATGACTACATATCTAATCATATGTTATAGTGTTGAGTCTTAAACCAGATGCGGTAAAATTAGGGAAATTGGTTAAATAAGTCCTTTTACTATTTCCGATCTATCACTTAAGTGACATATTGGAAATAGTAGAAGAGCTTTGGAAATAGTAGAAGAGCTTATTGGAAATAGTACAAGGTGCTCATGAATCATGAGGAGTTTTCTTACAATTGGGCTATTGAATCATCTTCGCCGTGAACAATGTTTCCTATTTTCCTTTTCTTCACAAGCACATTAAAGATATTCAAAGGACTGTGTTGGGTCTTTGAATCTAGATGAATCAACCTCAACAAAAAGTAATTGTGTTGTGTTCCTCCACCATTCCGTCTGTTCGCGGTGTGGGGTTCCTGAGGTGGAATCTCTACCTTCTTGGCACTAGAAAGTAATTGTTGAATTTAATGTCAACAAACTTGGATTCACTACATAGGTTTCCGGTCTGGTTCTGATATAGGTTTTTTAGACGTTTTAATATAGTTTTGTATTCAAAAAAGCTGGGAAACGTTATATCACAAGTTTTTTAGATAAAAATTTGCTTTTTTACTGTGTATTTCAGCAGTTTTTTCTTCTTCAGGAGAAAGGTCAAGTCGTGAAGCAAAACCAGATTGAAAAGTACAATCAAGACATTGATGAATGTAATAGAAGTTGAGAAAGGCTCTAAATCCGTCATATGCATCAAAAAAGACAACAATTGGAAAACAAGAAAAGAAGAGGTAGAATAGGCATGGTTTGCTATTTACAACCACGAACAACTCTGTCCGCTCGACATAGTATGTCTTATCTTCAGGTTCCGACCAGGCATGGCCTCGGTTCGGGCCGGGCCGGGCCTCGGTCCGGTTCCGACCAGGCTTTTTATTGGAGAAGTGAGGCCCGGAAACCGACCCGGGTAGCTCCGGTTCCGGGTCGGGCCGGTTCACTCGACGGTTACTGGGCCGGTTCACCCTATTTTTTTTATTGTCTAATTACTTCCTACCCCCACCCCCCAAATCCCTCCAAAACATCCAGCCCAACCCATTTACCTTTTAAAAAATGTGAAAAACAAAAAAAATGGTCTGAACCGGGCCCGAACCGGCCGAGTCGGTTCATCAAATGCAAGGCCCAGGAACCGCCCCTCTACAGTGTCAGGCCTGGTGGCCCGAACCGGCCACAGAACCGTGGACTGAGCTGGTTCGGGCCGGAACAATGCCGGTTCGGGCCGGTTCGGTTATCCCGGCCCGAGTCCATCCCTACTTAAGGTTGTCACTTGTCTGGAGTGGAAGGGAGTTAAAACACCAATTTTTTTTTATGTTTTCACCTCTAAAGTAACATACATAACATTAACATTTCAAGACATTTATAAAAAATTGTAAAACTCTATTCTTTCTAAATGAATAATACTACCTCCGTCCCATAAAATTCTTCCCACTTTGACTTGGCACGGAGAATAAGAAAGTAAAAATGTATGGTTGTGGTTGTGTAAGAAAAAAGTGAAATGAATGTGAACCACACAAATTGTTCAAAAATGGTAAGTGGGAAGAATTTTTCGGGATGGCCCAAAAAGGAAAGTGGGAAGAATTTTATGGGACAGAGGGAGTATTATAGTATAGGTTAGGGGTGGACCCGGACCAAGCCTAGGCCCAGGCGGGCTTTTTTTCGGAATGTAAGGCCCGGAACCGGCTCGGGTTGATACCGGGTCCGGGCCAAACCGGGTCGGGGCCGGTTCTATGTAATTTTTTTGGCTTTCTAATTAACCCCTACCCCCCTCCCTCACCCCTACCCCCAACCCCCCCAAACACCCAGCCCTACCCAAGGAAATTAAAAAAAATGAAAAAAATTGAACCGGGCCCAGCCCGAACAGCCCGGACCGGTTCATGAAAATAATGGCCCGGAACCGGCCCACCAGAACTATCCAAATCGGGCTAAAGCCCGAAACCGGTCATCAGGGCCCGGTCCGGGCCCGCACAGTAGCGGATCGGTCCGGTTCCGGGCCGGTTCAGCCCGACCCAATCCACCCCTAGTATAGGTGGTCCTTATTTAGGAAGGAAACAATGATGATTCTATTTGTGCATTTGACCAAAGTTTTAGTCTTATTTAAAAAATTGACACTATTATTATCAAACTCCTAACCCCCCCCCCCCCCCTCCAATGGTGTGGGTATTCTGAAATGTTCCATTTTTGTTAGTAAAATCATTCTTCTTTTCTGGGTTCTCGTTTGAAGAGAACATTCAGAACTTTACTTCTTTGCCCAAACAAACTTTTCCATTGAACATTTTTTACTTATCATTCTTCTTTTCTGGGTTCTCTAATATCCTATCTAGATTCAATCATTTTTATTATACCTTAAAATTAGGTGTGAGTAGGCTAATTTTTCAGCCATAAACTAATTTTCAATCTTTTATTCTATTAAAGATCTTTGAAAAAATGGCACACGTATAACTTTTCAGCTTTCATTTTACAATAACGTGATCTGATTTCGTATGGACAGAGAAGTGACCAAAGTAGCATTGAAATGACCATACTTCCCTCCCACTAATCAAACCCTACACCTCTCTCTCGCTTCTTCGTTCATCATCGCTTCTTCTACTCTGCTCGAAGTACCCGTCTGCCTCTCATGGTCGAAGAACTCGCCCGCCTCTCCTAGCTCGAAGGAATCTCTATATCGTCCATCTTAGTGTCCTCTGCCTCGCCATCAACGATAGTAAAGGGGCTTGTAAGGGCTAGATCTGGCTGTTTGGGTGCGGTTTGGGCTAGATCTGAGGTGGGGGGAGTTGACGGTGGGGCTGGGGGCTGGGGATGTGGCAGGGGATCGGAGGGGTTGGGGAGGTGGCTGGGGGATAGAGAGGGGGCTGGGGACGTGAATGGGTTTGGGGCGGTGGTCGGCAACGATGGTGGCAGAATTGACGAATGCGATTTGGAAGCGATAACATCGATGAGGACTCCAGAAGTCGGCGATAACGGTGGGTTTGAGGGTTATGTGGTTGTTGTTGGCTTTCGCGGCCAACGGTAGCTGCGGTCTGGGGAGGCTGGAGGGGGTTTGGGATGGGGGTATATCAGTAGAGGGAGGGGCAGGCGTGGTGGTGCTGGAGGGGCAAAGGGCGGGGGTGAGGCAGTGGGCTGGGAGCTGGGTGATGCAGGGGAGAGTGGGATGGGTGATGCAGGGGGTTAGGGTGACCAGGGGAGGGGGCTGGGTGAGGCAGGGGGATGGGGTGTGGTGGTCACCGGAACTCTGGAAGTGGTGGGCGCAAGCGGTGGCCGGAGGTGGTGGGCACCGACGGTAGCGGTTGAAGTCACTGGACGTCGAGGCCACTGTGGTGGCGGAGTCACTTTAGCTGCAGAGTCACTGCGGTCGCGGAGTCACTGCAGTCGCGGAGTCACTGCGGCGGAGGAGTCACTTTGACGGAAGTCACTTTCCACTGCAGGGTTTAATTGTAAAGTTAGGTCACATTTTTGGAATTTTGAAAAAGATGTTATAGTTGTCTTTTGTCTTTTTTTTAGTAATATCCAGGCCAAAAGGCCAAGATCTTTCACTACCGTACTCGCTACTATTTTCTTTATTTTGTATTTCAATTTTTCTTTCTTATTATTCTCCTTGTTTCTTCTTTTTGACTTTCGTTGTATAAATTTAAAGTAAAACTTGATAACAATAATTTCACCTTTGATACCAATCGTCCCATAGTAATCTCGTATGTACGAAATCTCAAAACAATCCCACCTTTTGTAGCTCATCCTCTTTCGTTGGTTCCTGACCGGTTGATAACATGTTATTCAAAAGTTCTTACATTTTCATTGAAAATAGTAAACAAATAAACCCACAATTACTGAATTCTCGAAACAATCCCATGTATAATTTCTTTCGTTTTCTCTCCTGCTAGTTTTCTTTCTTAATTTTTATCTCTCGACACTTTTTTAATCCTTTTTAATCTTCTTGGTTTTATTTCTTTTACATGTTGATAGCTTCGCCAGAATATCGCTAGTAGTATTTAGAGAAAAGACATAACTAATATTAGAGAGACAAAGATATATTGCATTAATGATTTTGTGAATCGTTACACCTGCGCGATGGAGGCTATTTATACTAGTCATAAATGTTGTACACTAAATTTCATGCACATGCAAGCAATTCTATGGAATGGGGCTCTGATTCGTGGTAGAAGTTGGCATGTATGGGAGCATTAAATGCATCTGCTAGTATCTAGGGGAGGCTTTGCCGTCAGTTGTATGCTCTCTTGATATTAATATAAAAGCCGCTCTTTTATTTTCTAAAAAACTTTTAAATTGAGCATCGAAAAAAATCAAAAACCCATTAAAATTCTCTAATGTGCTCATATATTCATTTGCGTTATTCCACTTATAGTCATCGTCAAGCATCCAATGCATGTGTAGCCCCCAAACTTGTAGCTAGATAATTGATACGTGAACGAGTGCATGTACTCTTCATGTTCTTCCTCACGCTAAATAACTGGCCAACCGACATCTATCACCACTCCTCCTCCGCTCTTTTGTAGACGAAGAAGGTTGATCAAGGATGTCATGGCTATGATCGACGGTGAGAAAATCTGTGGAATTCAGCGGAAACGAGAATATCACTTGCACTCTTCACAGCTTTGCGAGATCCGTTGTCCAACGTGTCGGGTCTGAAAATCTCTAGCGATCTATTTCTAGTGATGTTATCTGGTTATACCTAAGCTCCGATCTGAATTTAATTACAAATATACCCGGTCGTTCCAACCACACAATACAACTGATTGTATGATATAATTGTATGGCGTTGTGCCTTAACATTGTGCAAACCATGTGGTGTTGTGTCACCAATAGTAACATATCACAATAGAAATGTCCGCTAAACATGATTTGATCATCCTTAACTCAATGGTGTTCCTCTTTAGTGCCTTATCTCTCACATTTGTTTCAGGTAGTGTAAGTGCTAAAAGAACAAATGTATTAAAGAGGAGATATGTTAGTGTTATTTTTGGAACAATTTTTGGCTTCTTAATTGGAGTGACATTTCCTCCACTTTCATTAATCAAGGCAAGAACATGTTTCCCTTATATAATTACCCAGTATACTATTTCAAGATGATTTTGTTTAGTGGCTCTCATAACTCATCACCAACTTTGCAGCCATTTGTTAAAGACTCTCTCAATGCGGGTTCTATTGCAGATAGAACCGACTTGATAACTAATCAAAATGTTCAGTATTCTACAAAGGTTGGCCTGTTTAGGTTATTCAAATTCATTTCATCCTAATTATACGATTTAATGTAAAGAGTTTGGATATATATATATATATATATATACTCCCTCCGTCCCGTTGGAATGTTCCCCGGTTTGACCTACACACATATTAAGGAAATAAACTTACCAGGGGGTAAATTTTACTGTTTTGACACTGTTTCGACACTGTTTGGTACTGTTTCGACACTGTTTGACACTGTTTTGCACTGTTTGACCCTGTTTTGATGTAAGATAACTTTCCATTTAGGGAAATGAGAACTTTTCAACGGGACATCCAAAAAAGGAAAGCGGGAACATTCCAACGGGACAGAGGGAATATATATATATATATATATGAAAAAATAAATAATTATTGCCCAACATAAATATATTGACTTTGTATTGTGATTTCCTTAATAGATTTGGGCTTCATCAAACCCTAGGGGAGCAGAGAGGTTGCCTCCAAAACTTGTTGTCTCTGAGTCAGACTTGTTTCGTCGTCGATTATGTGGTGAACCAAGCGAGGCAAGCATTTCGAAAAATCTTTTATGGATAGCATCTAGTAGAGTACATTTGAACTATATCACTATGTTTATCTCTTGATTATTGAGTTTTGTTATATTGTAAACCAGCACTCATAGATATATTCAGTAAAAAAGTAATTGTTTATAATATCAATATATTTTTAAATATTAGCACATGCATCATTGTCATATTCTAATAGACGCATTTTACTTCTTATTTATTTGTCCCGAAAATATCTGACATTTTCCTAATTGGAACTACATAAGTATTTAATTTCACACTTTATCCTTTTTAACTTTTGTGTGTGTTGACACATACTACTTTTTGTTCCTTTTAGAAATTACAAAAGTTAAAAACAACTCTCTCCAATATATCATTAACACTCTTGCTAAACGGTTACCTTATTACTTAGTGATTGTTTTTCTACATTTAAATCTGATCCAGGCAAATGGCACATAAATTTACTAACCAATTGGACTTTTTTATTCAAGATTCTGGACATGATAGCTTTAGGTATTGTTCTGAATATGGTCCAGTGTTTAATATGCAGGACCTAGTTACTAGACCAAAGTATTTGGCAGCAATAAGTGTTGGTTATAAGCAGAAGAATAATGTTGATGATATTGTTAAAAAGGTGAGACTTCTTTAGGCCCTCTTCAACTCCATATTGTATGTCCATACTATTTGATAATGAATCTTTCTTCTGCAGTTTTCAAAAAATTTTACTATTCTTCTGTTTCACTATGATGACCATACAACTGAATGGGATGAGTTTGAATGGTCTAAGCTGGCAATCCATGTTACAGTGACTAAGCAAACAAAATGGTAATAATTTACACAATAACATACTCTTGGTTTTTACCTCGGGATGTCGGGGAGGGGACCTGGGGTAAAGTGGACCTAATCATCTTTCATGGAGTTTTGAACCCGGGATCTCTCATATAAGAGTGAGTCGGCGACAAGTGAGCTGAACCATTTCTTCTCTTGGTTACAATTAGATCATAGTAATAACATGAACTATACAAATTTCTGTAAGGTGGTACGCAAAAAGATTTCTACATCCAGACATTGTCTCTCCATATGAATACATTTTTATATGGGATGAAGATCTAGGCATTGAGAAGTTTGATGCTGAAGAGTAAGTGATCTTGTTTTAGCGGTTTAAACCAGATGGTAAATTTTGCTTAACCTGATTCTTTTTTCTTCGACCTAAGATATATCAAACTTGTCAAGAAACATGGATTGGAGATTTCACAACCGGCAATGGAGGGCAGTTCATCAACGTGGAAAATGTCTTGGAGGTTAAATGATCGTGAAGTTCATAAGTAAGACCATTTCTAAAGTACCCCCCCCCCCCCCCCCCCCCCACCCAAAAAAGTCTTATTTGTAATGCTATTTTAAGATCTATTTTCATATATACTCTCATTAGGAAAGTTATGGAAGAGAAGTCAGGATTTTGTAATGATTCTCATTTGCCTCCATGTGCAGCGTGCGTATCTCTACTCTAATTTACTTTTGATGCCATACATTGCTATACATATGGAAGTTAATAAATCTTTAAGATTAAAATAGAACTCCAATCCTTAGGGTTTGTTTGGTTGAAGGGATCGGAATTCGGAAGTGGTGAGATTTATATGGTCAGAAATAAAGAGATGATGACAAAAATATACAAATGCATGATCTAACTAATGGTATATATATACTCCGTATTGAAATCAACTTCTTGTTAAGTTTATAGTAGTTCATTGATTTATAGTAGTTAATAACTCAAATGTGTGTGTATGTGTGCTTAGAAGATACACTAAAAACTTTGTTGATTTGGAAAATATGAATTTGAATATGATGAATGTTTAATATGTAAAATAATACTCCATCCGGTTCTTATTAAAGTTCTCACTTTCCTTTTTGGGATGTCCCTTATTTAAGTTCACACTTCCATTTTAGGAAACAAAACAGTGCAAAACAGTGCCAAACGGTGTCAAACAATGTCCAAACAGTGCCAAACAGTGCCAAACAGTGCACTCCACATTAAAGTCAAATTCATTTTCTTAATATGTGTGAAGTCAAACTAAGAACTTAAATAAGAACCGGAGGAAGTATATTAAATGGACATCCACTTTAGTACACAAAGGTGATCATGGATACTTTTTTGTGATGAAGGTTATTTAGTCATTACTAGTTCGAGACTAAAAATAGAGACCATTTGATAAAATAGAAATCAAATTCGATCATCTCCTTCCTATCACTATAATCCCCCAACCAAACAAGCTCTTATCTAACTTTGTACATTTGTGTTTTTTGTTTTAGATTTGTGGAAATCATGGCTCCTGTTTTCTCTCGTGAAGCATGGCGTTGTGTGTGGCACATGCTTCAGGTGTTTCATTTGGATCTTGAAACATCGTAGTCCATTGTGGAACACGAAATGTACTTTCTATATTGTGCATCCTTAATGTAATGAATCTTTATTTAGTGCAGAATGACTTGGTGCATGGTTGGGGCCTGGATTTCACCTTTCGAAGATGTGTTGCGGTTTGTTTCTTTCTCTTAGGTTGTGTGTTTGGGAGTTTGCAAGGAAGGGGGGAACAAGGCTTTGAAGGTTGGTCGGGAGGGGAATGGGAGGTGAAGTGAAGGAAATAGTTTGTAACTCCTTCTAATTTTGGGAGTTACAAATTTGAAAAAAGAGGAACTATAGAGGAATTACAATTAAACTCTGTTCAAAGATATGACCAATTCTAATAGTTCAACTTATATTCATTTTAAATAGAGTTAAAGTTATTAATGTTGGAAAAATGTGTTAAAAATTGCATTAAATGATCAATTTAGGGAAATATTTTGAGTGGAGTCCACTTCTGATTTGGGTCAGGTCAAAGTGGTTTCGGATTGTCCTTGCCAAGAGCTACAATTCGATATATGGTACATTCAAAACGGATAACGGGTGAATGAGAAATTGATTCTTCCCGTAACGTTCCTTAATTTTTTCCAGACTGGCAGAACGGCCCCGTTTCTGTCTCCACCATAAGAGGGTCTTAATTCTCAACAGAATCGCTCCGTTTCTGTCCGCACCAGAAGAGGGCCTCACCAGAACCGCTCCGCTTCTGTTTGTAACAGTAGGGCACGAGGTATTTTGTCCGTGCCAGAAGACCTTAGAGGTATCCTGTTGACTTCCAGACCAGAATACCTAAGCGCAGTTCTCAGCCGTTACGAAACTTAATGTCCAACGTTCTTATCTTTTAATGCTTCTTTAAATGGACATTTTTTTGCCATATTAATGCCCAGCGTGCTACACATTTATGTGCAACGTTCAGGTCCATTAAAGCTCGGCTAACACACCACAAATCCTCCTATAAATAGCTGGCAGGTGCTTTGCAACAAACATATATTCACAACCAATCTGCACATACTTTTTAGCTCTAAAAACACTTCCAGCTACCCCAAAAATTTCCTTGGTGTTCTACCTTTGTTCCCATTCGCCGGAACTTTCGTTTGTGTGCTCAATCGTTAGTTCGTTAGCAACTGTATCCTGGGAAACGGTCGTCGCAACGCTCCTAGCACCGTGGGAGACGAAGAATATGTTTTAAGGACATCGTGTGTAGCACAAGCTCTGCCTAATTTCCGTCCCATCTTATTTTCTGGGTTTTTTTCCTTTGGCTATTTTAATTAATTAATTAATTTTTATTAATTATTTAATTTTTTTTGTTTTTCTGAGACACAACCAACAATTAATGAACTAATTATCCTTCAAAATCCATAATTTGGAGGAACTTCAAAAATTAGTATTTGAAGAGTTTTGAAGGGTTAGAATAATTTTGCAAACCCATTCATTCCAATTTTTAAACTCCCAAGCAAGAAAGAAAGAGTCATAAACCTTCATCATCTTTTCCCTCCGAGGGCGGATGTAGCAAGGATGGTGTGGCCCGTGTGGGGGCAGCTGCTTCCAATAAAAGCCTAGTAAACCCATATAAATTATTACCTCCGTCCCACTAGAAGGTTCTCGTCCACTATTTGCATAGTCAACTTAAATCATTTTTAATCGTTTACTTTATAAATTAAATTTTTATCAAATTTACATTTTTTTATCAGCCTTTGTAGTGGCCGGTTTTAATGTAGTTTCTGAATATATTAATTTTATTTAGTAAAACTAATCAGAGTGTGAACAGGGATTAAGTTGCTTTATCATCTGTCAAGCATCGTAAACCGTTCACGGGAACTTTCTAGCGGGACGGAGGGAGTATTAGTAAATATTAAAAGTTTAAAGCACTGTTTGGTTGGAGGGTTTTGGAGGGGAGAGGAGGAAAGTGAGGGATTTGTGTGTGTTTGGTTGAAGGAAACAGGGGGGAATGGGAGGAAAGTGGAAGACTTTCAAAATCCTCCAATTCCTCCCATTCTAAACCCCCCAAATCGGGGTATTTCGTAGGAAACATGTTGATAACCACAAACTATCAATATCCTAAGTGAATGAATAAAACGTTATAATATAAAAAGGTAAAAAACAAAAAGTTTTGAAAAATAAAAAATTTAAAAATTTAAAAATTTAGAGATTAAAAAATTTAAAAATTAAAATTTTAAAAAATAAAAATTTAAAAATTAAAAATTAAACATTTTAAAAATTAAAAATAAAAAATTTAAAAAATAAAAATAAAAAATAAAAAATTTCAAATTGAAAAATGAAAAATTATAAAATTAATAAAGTAAAAAATCAAATAAAATAAAATTATGACTCATGACCATAGCAGTAATATTCACAATAGTTAGACATGTATCTATTTTTTTAAGTAAGCTATCAAATAAAAGTAAATTGCGAAAATATTTTCATTAAACTTTTCCTCCTATTTCCTCCAATCAAACACAAATTTTTATCAAAATCCTTACTTCCGCTTCTCTTCCCTTCCCTCCTTGACTCTTCCATTCCCTCCCCTCCTTTGAACCAAACAAGCCCTAAGTGTTTGCCCACAATTAAAAAAACCGTTGCCACCAACAATAACTCAGTTGTCCAGTCGCTCGAATCCAAAGCCATAAATTTATGAATTTCACCCAAACCACCAAACCCAGTAATCCACTGACTGAGCTTAAAAGTTACGGCTGAATTTTATATCGGCAAAGAGCTGAGGTTATTCTCATTTGATATCACTTTTTTTAAATTAAATTATTTTTTTAAATTAATAGGTATTGGGTTAGTCCTTTCCTGCATGGCATCTCTATTGTTTGTTTGTTTAGACTTTAAATCCATATACGGAGTATTACTCTTTATATAAATATAATAATTGATAATGTTATTAAACTCATCATACTGTTATTATTTTTTTTGTACGTTTTTTATGTAAATCCATTATATTTAATTTAATAGATGATTTAATTAAAATAGTTATACATCTATTGGAGTCTAATTTTTACATTTATTAGAAAAAAGAAAATTCCGTAAAGGTAAAATCCTGAAATAGAAGTAAAAACGTTTGAAAATTTCAAAATAGAACTATCATGTTTTATTCTCTAAATTGAAGTGATTATTGTCAAACTTGGAAAATAGTGTGATTTTTAATGTTTGGTATTGCTAAACATTACAATAATTACTCATATTTAGCGAATAAAAACATGACAGTTGTCCAGAGCCAACAGAACTCCCTTGGAGGGTTTCTGTTGGAGGCCTTCTGGGAAAAAACGTTCTGGAAGAAAACAAAAATTAACCGTATCTCTTGAGAAATAGATTTTTGGACGGCATTCGTGTCCGCAGGTCGCCCGCGCACACGAGCCGCGGTTTTTCTTCTCCGTTTCGGGATTTGATCGGCAACCATTTTTCCAACAACAGTTATACGGAGTATTTAGGAATGCACAAACATTTTTTTTGTTAACCCGATAGACATAACACCTAAGTCGGTGGGGCAAACGTCAGGGAACATTTGCCAACTTTTTAAAAAAAATAAAGAATTAAAAGGAATATACAAACGTTTCTACGCCTATATTGAACAATTTCTTATACATCTACACTTTATTAATTTTTGTTCTTTTGATTAGGGGTGGGTGAGATCGGGAACGGTCCGGTAAATTAGTAAAACTCATATTACTAGCACAAACATGATACAACAAAAAGTCATGTACACTACTACATTACTAGAAATTAATGATTTCTAAAATTTTAACACTTTTAATACATACCAAAATATATCATAAATTATCTAAAACGAAAAAACAACTATATGTGTGTGTGTGTAAACACATTTAACTATTTTAGGGACGCATGAATACATACTTGAGCTATAAAATTGTTGATCTATAAAAAAGATCTATTGGTATGGATAAAATATAAAAAATTCAAATGCATTATTTTCGAATGGTCTGTTCGGTATTTTTCGGTCCTCAAAATCTAGGACCGGTCCCGTACCCGTATCAAACGGTATGGTTTCAGTAGGGGCAAAAATCTATAGAACCATTTAAATACTCGATATTTAGTTCGATACCATTACGAGATGGTTCGGTTCAGGTTTTATGTCCACCCCTACTTTTGATGTATGTTTTGATTAATCTGCTCCCAATAAGACATTTTCCTGGATCCGTTACTTCCCTCCCCTCCAAAACATAACTCCCAAAAGCACCCTTAGCCGTTCATTGCTAAGTTTGTCTTAGCTTAGACACACAAGACGGTGATTACATATTGAATGTCTTTTGCAGCCCGCACATGAGAAGATCGGAGTGGTTGATGCTCAGCCAGTTCTTCATCGAAGATTTCCTTCAATTACGAATGAGGTAATATATGTGAATAAGGTACATTAACCATGTAGCTAGTGTGTTTTATATTGGAAATCCATGCATTTTCACCACCTTGTTCAACTTCACTGCCTTTTAACAGGGAATGCCAGAGAATGGGATGCCTGGTTGGCTCATGGTAAGCTGATCAATACACCCCCCCCCCCCCCCCCCCCTCCCAAACACAATTTAATTGAGGTACTCTCAAAGGATGTTTTTACTTAGACGGTAATTTGCTGGTGTGGTCGATCTGATCTGGTCTGTTTAAGTTTGATCTGGTCTGGTAAACGTCTGGTCTCTGTGTATTTTATAACTACGGAAGTCAAGTCAAGTCTAGTCTGGTCTGATATGTTCAAGTCTAGTCTGGTCTGGTTTGTTTAAGTCTGGTCTGATTTAATTTATTTAATTCTGGTGTGATCTGGGACTAAAAATAGTCCAAGTAAAATAATCCTAAGATCTTTAACTATATACGAGTATCATTTTGGTCATTCAACAAAAAAAAATCTTATGTGAACTATTTGGTTAGTGCTCTAGGAGTTAAGCATGTAAGTTTTGTAATTGATGGTGAATTTGATGACATGGATGGTAAATTATTTACCATGCTGAAGGATTATAAAATTAACATCATTAATGATTAGTACAAATTCTTTTGTATAGGGACTCTGAAAATTTGAATTAATAAAATAATCTCAGTATAAATTTTCTGACCACTTTTATTTATGTGTAGATTCGAACAAGATCTATTGTGGAGTGGAAAATGTTTGAAAAAAGGGTAGCAAATGCAGAAGAAGCTTATTACAAGTCAAATGGGATTGACCTTTACAACTTCACAGCCCTTAAGAAAGAAACAACAATCATTGACGATTTGGAAAAAGAAGCAAAATCAATCATGAACAAGTATATTAAGGAAGGATCCTAGTCATGTATCCCATTAATATAATCCTACTTATATATATAAATATTCAAAATAAAATGCACATTTTACGTTCTAGGAAAAGTAAGTGAATGAATAATAGATCAATAAACAAACAAACATTGTAATCCCTGTTGTAGTGATGTATTATTCAAACACAGTTTGAACCTTTAAACTCATCATCTTTTGTCAACAGCAGATTTCTATGGTACCTCTTCAATTTTGGAGTGTACCATACATTTGCCTTTCTCACCCAATAACATTCCAAGTCAATTCATTAATGACACTATTTCATGTGCCACTATTTCTATGTGTCACTATTTCATTTGTCCACACAATGAGATGCACCATACCTTCCAAATTTTCAAAGGCACCATAGCATGACCCATATTTATAATTAAAAAACTTCAATAGTCCTGACTATTGAGATAAATATCCAACTTGGTTCTAAACTATTAAATTGACTAGTTTTGTGTTAACTGTTAAATCATTTGAGTTAACGAAGTGCTATATTAAGACATGAACTACTCTTCCTATCAGGTTGAATGGAACCTCAAGTCTTAACATGGTATCAAAGCCAAATCGATCCATGGTGTGGGCCCCTTATGAAAAATGATTGACACGATTATAAAAAATGACAATGATGAATTGATGAAAAAAATGAATGACGGCACGGTCCAGACGAAGAGTCTGATCGTGAGGATCGGAGGGGTGTTAAATCCCACACCAGAAATGTTTGAGTCAACGAAATGCTATATTAAGACATGAGTTACTCCTCCTATCAGGTTAACTTTTTAGGATGGAACCTCAAGTCTTAACATTTTGATTCTCAACTTTAACTTATCCATAGGAATTATCCAACTTTAAACATTTTTTTAATTTTATGAGCTCAAATTAAATCTTAGATCATGATTCATAGGAATGAAATTAAATAGACAAGATCAAAAGATTATATAGGCAAGACAAATCAACCCATTGCTATCAAAATAGTTAGAATGAAATAAGTGTTTTCTAAATCCACTCGTTACCACCTCGATCAAATTTAGCTACTTTAATCATTCATAGCTCCATTAGATAGATCTCAAGTCATATATGATCACGTGTTTATTATTCTTTTCATCGAGATAAATTGAAATATTTAAGCAACAAAAAATGACTATAGGTATCCCCTTAAAAAGAGACTACAGCTATCCCCTTATCCTAAACTTTTCAAGTGTCTCCATAGAAAAACTACTTTGATAGCATGCTAGTTACTTAAATATTTCAAGTATTATTAATTCTGATAATATGGAAACAATTACGGAGTATTTAACACTTTTATTGCGTTAAAAAAAATTAATTGTGATGGCATATATTAGTGTGAGAGTTTTAATAGAAAAAAATATAAATGATTTTTAAGAAGACAAAAATGTGATTTAAAATAATTTGGAAACCTCTGTATCTGCTTCACACTTGACGCACCAGGCTCATAGCAGTCATCTCTCTCCTCACATAGCAGCTCGGTTTCTCTTTAATCGATCGAAGTTCCATCTTCAGGCTCATCGTCGCTGCCATATTCCATCTCTCTGGTACGTAGCTCCACTTCGTCTTCCTCATCCTTCCTAATCGATTAGCAACGACATCGACACCATCAAAGAAGTGAATCATCAAGAAGTGACTATGCTTTCAGATGAGGGTTCGGAGATGATTGTTTTAACAAGAAGTGGATATGGTCTCAGATCTGACCGAGTAATACGGGCAGCTGGTCGTTAGAGCTAGATCTGGGGGCGAGGTATGGTGGTGGGATGCAGAGATTGCAGGGACTGGGGGCAGGGTGAGGAGGTGGGGCAGAGATTGTGTAATGGCTGGGAGTTGAGGAAAGGGTTGGGCAGAGGCGGTGGTGGACAGACGCGGTGGTGGCATGGCGCTGGTCGGGGGCGACGGGTATAGTGAGGGCATGGAGGTTTGGGGGCTGGGGTTATGGTGGAGAGGGGATGGGGTACGCTTGAAAGGGGGTTGAGGTTGGTTTAAGAGAGAGGCTGGATCTTTGGCAGCTAGCGGTGGCGGCCATCGGTGTTTGACGGTGGTAGTTTCCGGCGGTGGCACTGTAGTGGCGATGGGGGCTAAGGTTGGCCACCAGCGGTGGTGGACGGTGGTGGTTTCTAGCGGTGGTAGTGGATTAGGGGCTGGTGGCCAGCGGAGGTAATTAGGGGTTGCTGGTGGCGATGTCACTGTGGCGGCGTCACTGTGGCGACATCACTGTGGTGGCGTCACTGTGGTGGTGGTGACAGCAGTGTAATTGGCGTGAAATTTTTGATGGTGATGACTCTTGGTGACAAGAAAAAATGAACACAGTATTATCTTGTTATTCAATTTTTTGTCAATTTTTAAAAGTACTCATATTTTTGGAAAATCAATTCAAATTAGTAATACTTCCTGCGTATCTATTTAGATGACCCATTAGGCTTTTTGAGTAGTTTAAGAAGAAATGTAGGTGTACTATAGATAAAGTAAAAAACATAGTAGATAAAGTAAAAAGACTGTAGACACTTTTAGAATGCTTTTGGCATCTCTCGCCGGAGAGTGTACATGATATGGAAAGTGTCACAAACATGCAGGGCTGCAAGAGACCCCGTCAACCATAACTCCAACAGAAAGGAATGGTGTGGAAGGAAGCCCAAATTAGTGGGCATGGCCACAGTGTCACCCCTTCCATTCCATCAAAGGAGTTCTATTAGAAGCACTGCAACAGCTTTGGGTGTTCCTGCATCAACTGTACAGAGATTGCTCAAGAGGGGACAAATAAAGCCTCACTCAAATGCAATTAAGCCATTCTTAACCCCTGACAACAAAATCAGTAGGCTGCAATGGTGCTTATGACACCTCAAAGTTGAGGCAATGGCAGAAAGTCCTGTGTTTGATGAAATGTTCAACATTATCCACATAGATGAGATATGGTTCTATATAACCAAAGGTAGCCAGAAGTATTATCTGGTACCTGGTGAAATAGAACCATACAGAACTGCCAAAAGCAAAAGGTTCATAGAGAAAGTTATGTTCTTATGTGCAGTTGCCAGACCTAGGTTCAATGAGGAAGGTGAATGCAGTTTTGATGGGAAGATAGGGATGTGGCCTTTTGTTCAAATGGTGCAGGCACAAAGGAAAAGCAAAAACAGACCCAAAGGCACACCAGAACTAAAGCCAATAACAGTTGTGAACAAAGATGCATACAGAAACATGATCATAAAAAACCTACTACCTGCAGTGCATGAAAAGTGGCCAGGGGATGATCACAAGACAATATACATCCAGCAAGACAATGCAAGACCACATATAAGGGGAGATGATAATGAATTCAGATTGGCAGTTGAGCAGATGGGAAGGGATGTGCAATTAATCAACCAACCACCAAATAGCCCAGATATGAATATCCTTGATTTGTGCCTATTCCGGGCTATTCAATCTTTAAAGGATAAATGCTCAACAACAAATTTCTCTGAACTTGTCCAGAACTGCAAGGATTCATTCATTGCATACAACCCTCATTCCTTGAATCATGTATTTCTAAGCTTACAGTTATGCATGATTGAAGTAATGAAGGTTAGGGGGGCAATTCATATGACCAAGTTCACATAGGCAAGAAGTCATTACAAAGGGTTAACATGCTGCCACTTTCATTGGCTCCTCCCCCACTACTAGTGTGGGAATGTATGAACTACTTGCAACAAGGAACAATGGAGCAACAAGGAGTGGAAGAAGGAGCAATGGTTGATGCATAACAAAATGGACCAGTTTACAAAAGGGGTACACACTAGCAGTTTTGACTTTTGTTGTTACAGTGTGGTTTAACACAATTTTTTTGCAAGACCATGTATAACTACTCCATAATTTTGCATAGAGGAGTAGGTCTGTTTTTTTATGTAACGGTGTATTAGCCCACATTTTGGTCACACTTAATTCAATCATTTCTTAATATCAAAATCATGTTGTCAATAGCAATGGAGTAATTCAACAATAAAGATTAGGAATGTGGCCACACAATCATGCATAAATAAACAATAGAGATTAGGAATACATCCCTTACGGAAAATCCACACAGAATTCATCTCATGGACTAGCCCTTCGAGTTGACCTCCTCCTCGCCGGAATCTGTGTCGCCAAACTCGGAACAGCTATCCTCCACCAAATCAGACCCAAATAATCTCCGGAGAGGCCACCCAGGGTCAGTTTCAGATGAAGTTGTCAAGTCTGGACAATCGGTGCTTCGGGACTCCAAATCTGAATCGGCTGCCGGATCCGCTAAGCGAATGGCAACATCACTCAAAACAAGGCCTTCCTTTGATTTCTCTGAAGGAGGTGAGGGACATCCTTCGTTAAGCCTTTGTTCAAGCAGTATTAGTTCAGAATCTGAGTCATACGGATCCATGCAAAGGAATAGGGGATTCGTAGGTCGAAGATGAGAAACAGGGTTGGAATACGGTGGCAGACAACAAAGCCAGAACGAAGACGAGGGCTGTGAGGCTAGGCTGAATTGAGAGAAAAACCAGAAGGATGGACAAACGGAAGGCGTATAAGAGAAAACTCAAGCGATGAAGATACAGATAAACCAGAGATAAGCGGCGAAGATACAGAGAGACGATTTCAAAGAGAGACGGATGCTTCGAGATATGGGGTGATAATGGCCGAATTAATGGGGACAGGTGGGACGGATGATATGGTTGGGTGGGATGGGTTTTAATGGGGCGGATGATATGGTTGGGTGGGATGGGTTTTAATGGGAAAAATATAAAAAGTTAATGATGGGATGTTAAAAGGTGGTGGGTCCATATCTAAAAAAAAAGAAATGGGACATTTTTTTATACGTCCCGAAAGGAAAAGCGAGACAAGTAAATAGACACGGAGGTAGTATTAAGGGAATAACCCCTATATTCATCTCATAAGAATTTTCAGGTTTACGACCTCCCATCTATGGTAATATCTCTTTTTTTAATCCCACAACACGGAAGTATTCAATACTCCCTTTGTCCTCCTAACTGTGTGTCGTTTTACTTTTTTCATCTGTCTCGTTAAGTTTATCTCATACCATATTTGGTAATATTTGAATGGTTACAATTCATTCTTACTTTATTCACACTTTATTAATTCAATACTAACTAACCATACAATTCTAACTTTTCTTAAATACTCGCATTACATCCCTTCGTCCCAAACTTAGGGGGACAGAGTCACGGAGGTAGTATTATTTATTCTTCTTCCAAAAGGTTGAATCTCAAACCCCAAGAGCCTCTCATACCCCGACCCGACCAGACTTTTGGGAGAATGTTAGTCATGCTGACTCAGTCGGGTCAATGGTGATAGATTTTGTACCTGTGCGCACCAGAGATCCAACCTAGCACACAGGAGTTGGAACCTCCACACAGTCGCTGCGGCATTCGATGCTTGATCATGTTTTCAACTTTCCCACGCCACTCAACCAATTGAAGTACCTGTTCGTGTTAAAACTATTTATTCTAAATGTACCCAACGGTCCAAACTCATACTCCATAAAAAGAAACTTTTTATGACGTCTATCCACCCTTTCTCGTGCATTCTCTTGGACAAGGCGAAAGTGTTTTTTTCCTTTTATGGAAAAGTAGACAAGTCCTGCATCAATTCAAGCTTTCAAGGCAAAGAGTTGGAAAAGGCAAAATGTACGCTTGAGAAAATCTAGTAATTATGAGGTGGAAATCGAAAAAGATTCTTTATGTTGAGCAAACCAAGTAAGCAAACACTTGAAAAAACCTAAAAATGATAAGTCAGTAGAACATTTCAGCCCATTTTTAAGTGAATATGCCTTTAACCTACAAATTAAACTACTCAAAGCCATAGCAGAGCCAAAGAAGCTAGGCATGAATACATGATGATTGAGAACTTGTATAAAAAAATGATGATTGAGAACCATTTAATTACATAAATGATTATTAAAAATGTTTTAACCATTTAATTATGTAAAGGATTTCTAAGAACGCTTTGACCATTTACCGAACTCTTCCAAAGATTAAATCCACATATTGCAAATATTAAGACACTCAATCCTCAACCTCTATTATCTCTTTGTTAGGTGGCTCGCACACTTAGATATTAGAGTTGCTATGATAGCCTGATAGGTAGTTTGATCTAGAGAATGTCTTATCATCTTAGAGTTTTTCAAGTCCAGTTATTTTTAGTCTCCATTTGTACTCGTCTTGTTTCCGCTTTATGGTAGTAATGGTGTTCTGTGTTCACGGATGATAGCCGATGTCAACGGTGGTAGTGTTGGTGGTGGTAGTTGGTGGTAATGGCTGATGATTGTAATAATCATCAACAAACGATGGTTGACGAAATTAGTGGTGATCACTGTTAGTTACGTTGTTCATCATTATATCACTGGTCCATGACAATGACGACAGACATAAGAGCCAGGCATCCAGCGATAGCGTCGTAACAACGGTCATGAATAGAGCAGTGGTAGATAGAGTGGTGGTTAGAGGGGGGTTCTGTTGGCAACTTGTTTACGATAATGTCTGAAACTAATGGTAATAGCAGGAGTGATGAAACTGATAATGTATGTTGGTCACTTGGTCATACAACAACAATTAACATCACTACCTCTCAGTGCCACAAAAACTCCCACTTACGATTGGTAAGGGGGTCGAATGTACGCAACCTGACCCATGTACTAAACCACAGAAAAATTGTTTCGGAATGACTTACGATGAAAATCGCGTTGAAAATTACATTAACTGATTGTTGCTTCATAACAAAAAAGCGCGGATATGTCTCAACTCATTGTAGCCTTAGTCTATTCATTCTTTTGTATCTTTTTTATCTTTTAATAATATATTAGTTATTTGATTTGCAAAAAAAGCGTGAATAGTTTAGTTAGTCATTTTGCTTTATTACATCATATTCCGGTCTCAAACCCAAAAAAAAAGTGGATCTTTGGCCTCATTGAAAATGATAGAAATGTGTTGATCACTTGGTCATACTTGAGATAAATGATTTGTTTAAATTTGGAACTGTTTTATATTTTTTCAGTCTTGAAACTAGTTTTTTTTTTGGAAATAGTTGATTAAACATGTTTTTGTTTCCTGCATCTAAAAACCGGAAGAAATTATAACACTTGAATGTGATTTCATATAATAGAAAACATTTCCATTAGTAACAGAATACTTAAATTTTTGACATATGTTTTATCACTTGAATGTGTTAAAACTATTTTTTAAGAATACCGTGGGAATGTATACTAACATGTTTGGTTGATGACTTGATGATTCATTTCGTAAAACATCCCTATTTGTGTGGGCGGGTGTACACTTCATACATTTCCTGCAAAATGGGCACAAAGATGAACTAGCAGGAATGTTGCATTTTTTTTTTAATTTCTGTGAAAAAAGGAGTGCTACATTTCTGTGAAAAAAGATTAGTCAAATCAAACATAAAAATATAAGATTCCAGTGCGCCCAAGACTCAACAGCCCTTAAAGTGATTCTTGTTTTGTCCATTTCTTTAGTCACCTCCATTCCTCAACCAACAGATCATAAAAGATAAACTCAAAGACCAATAATCATAACACAAATATATAGTATGAATACATTAGTCACCACCAAAATTTTCTCCGATCTGAAGAAAGCCCACAACTAGAAAAAACTAAAACAATCTTCTTGGCACATAATTTGGAGTCTTTTGCAAAGCTACCCCGTGAATCTAAAGCTATTCAGCCATGGGTAAATTCCTCAACTTGCTCAATTATCATATATAGGTTATATATTATATACAACACATTCTTGATCATCCAAGCACCCCTGAAGCATTATGCAGCTAAAAAAATAAAAAAATAAAAAGCCACACTCACTTGGATCAACCACTTTCTCTCAAACAGTTCCCGGGCAACAGAAACTTATACGTGTTGGCATTCTCCAAAAGATAGGACGGAAGATGAACGGCGGAGTAGGAGTGTGGGATGGGTCCCATCTTTGCAATGATTTCCTTGAAAGTGTATTCCTCAGGTAACATATCAAACAAATCATCCCCATTGCATATCACTTTCTGGACTCTCTTCGGGTTCAAAAAATGCGAAAACCTCACCCTGTCAAAGTGACTATACGCTTTCATCTTGAATATGAACTCACTAATGTGGCGAAAACAAAAGCTACAATGCCATCCAGAATCAGCCAACACATCATCCGACTGCCGATAATGTGCATACCTCGTCTTCCCGGATTGATATCTATGAACCGAAGCTCTCCAGCTGTTATCATCAATGAGGAATTCAAAGGAATAGAGGTAATTCTTCAATCGAAGATGCAGAACTTCCGGAATGTTATCACACCACCTCAAGAGGTTAATAGTGTGTCGACTTGGAATCTCGTCAATATCCGACATTATTAACAAGTCATCATCTTGAATACCCGCTTGCTTAAGAAGATAATCTAAGGCTAACCGTTGATAAGCCTCCTCAATGAATGGGTTCTCCCCCGTTCGGAACCGGCCCGGAGCTTGCCCGTAAGTTAACCGTGATTCAACAAAATCAAAACTCTTTCTGTTGATAGCGAAATGCAAAGGCTTTGGCAATCCAGTGAAAGTTGAATTAGATTCGAGCAAAACAAACTCAGTCACGTATGGATTCAACTCCTGCCATCTTATGTTAAGTATGTCCACTTCATTACTGAATAAGACGGCATCATAGACACGCCTTGGGAATTCACGGATTCTCCATCCATGAAGTTTACAAAGATTTTCCATCGACACATTCTCATGATAATAATGGGGGATCTCATTGAAGGGCTTTGGCGGTTTTTCCCATAAAGGGCGCAGAAAGTATGTGATTTTCTGGCCATGGACGTAGATGCCGTACAAGCAAGTGGGGACCAGAAGGAAAAGAAAGATGTAGATTTTAAAGTCTAGGCCTTGTAGAATACATTTTAATCTAGACATACTTATTCCCCAGCTAGGGTCCTGTCATAAATAGTGAAAGAGATAAGTATAAACACCCATATGAAGACACTTTAAACTTCAATTAATTTTCTTTTAAAACTTAAAAGTATCTATCAATCGGTTGATTTCATAACTAAGCACCAAATGTGATTTTTACTGTTAAAACACTTTCACCATTTTACTGCCGTACTCTTCTTTTTTGTAGTAAAAGTACTTTTCTCCCTCTAAAAACTAAAAACCACTTACTCCATGACAATAACCCATTCCGAAAACAGTTTCAAGTCAACCAAAACAGAGACTATGAATTCAGATGGACCATATTCAGATTTCCACAAAATCACAGAGATCTATTGAAAGTACATGTCCAACTCTAAAAGAATGTGCAAGAAATAAGATTATATAAAGATGCATAAGCGAATCTAGTTAGTGAGAAATGCATGTCCAACATGGCAACATGTAGATGATAAGATCATGAGAATTTTGTGCATGCCTCTTCTGAATCGTGAATCTAAACATACTAAGATGAAGCATATATACATTTTCCGTGTAATATAAATAACTTAGTTCAATTTATTAGAACAGACAACTATTATGCTTTACCACTCCATTGATCTCTTTTCTTTTTTTCCTCTCTCGTTTGTTTTATCGTTTATCTTCTGTCTTTTTTATGTTCTTATGTTATTTTTACTTTCTAGCTTTTTTATGCTCTTTTATCTTTTAATCTTTTATCTTTCTTATATTCTTATGTTATTGTTATCTTATATTTATTTATCTTTATCTTATTCGTTTTATCCTTTTTTTCTTCTTGTCTGTCTTCTCTTTTTGGCATCGATATCATGGATCGATTCATGTATTGTTAGCCGACCCCAAAATCTTTTGGGATTAAGGCTTGGATGTTGTTGTTGTATTATGCTTTACTACTCTAATCTAAGATATAAAGATGAATTTACCACAACTATTATGCTTTACTACTCCACAGATATAACGATAATTTTATTCCACTATCATTCCTCATCCATATCACCAAACTTAACCTGAATTTAAATGCAATTAATCAAGTCCAATAGGATTTGTAAAAGTCACCATGGATATAGCCATATAGGGGTGTTCGTGGTGCTAGTTGGGAAATTTCAGCTTAAATTCAGAACTAATCAATTATGTAGGTTTTAATATGTAGACAGTAGGTTGGCTGGTTTACCTACGACTTGATAACCACCTCATACAACTATACTATACTCCATAAACTATAAAAATGTTCATTAAATAAGATTACACCATCTATTTAATATTATTCATAATGAAGAACAAGAACTTCATACCAATAACTAATACGTAGTAAGTAATTAAGTTGGAATAAAGAAGCAAACAAAATTGAATTTTTGCATATTCCTTATTACTCCGTATATATGAAGCACCTAACAACTATACTTCACTCCATGGACCATAAACAATGTGTATAAATAATGTTGAAATGGACTAATAAACAAAACTTTATATTTATCCATATTCATTATTCATGTACGGATTCTTTATATACTTACAAGATATGACCAGTTAGGTTAGAAAAAGATACTTAACAGTTAACACCCCCCAATCTAGAATTAGCAGTTTATCAATTAGCACCAAGTTTTTTCTAACTAATACTGTGACAACATCAGTGAATGTTGTTCAGATCCAAGTGTATTAGTTTAAGCAAATTGATTAACTTTTACATCCCACTTCCTAAAATCAAATTTGTACTTCATATTAATTTGGTTTCAGAAGTTCTTCCTAAAGCAAATATGAACATAGAACAGAAGGGGGGAAGAATTACAAAAAAAAAAGTTTGAGAAATTGAAGTGAAACCCTTTTTTTGCTCTGGAAAAAGACATACGGTAAACACTAATTACATATAATAATAATAAGGGCAAAGAAATAAGAATCCCACCTCATAGCAGACATCATCCTTCTTCTTAGAGCAGTAGCGAGATCCCCTTTCTGCCACCGTGTAAACTCTCTCCCAAAACTTCGATACACTCCACATCTCTTTCTCTTTCTCTTTCTCAAACTATCTATCTATATTTTCGATATGCTCCCTTGATTTCACAGATCAAATCAGACAGAGAACAATAAAATCACCAGCAAGCGCACTGGTAAGAAAATGCGCAGATCAATCGGCGAGAATGGAGATTGCTCACTTCAATGAACAGCACCTAAGATTCAGAGAAGGAGAAGCCGCAGCCATCAAATTATATACCGCCCAGAAGCAAAAAACCGTGAAAGGGATAACGGTAATAGAATCAAACTAGAAAGCAGATAGAATCAAAAGATGCGAACAGAAAAATAAGAGGAAAAATAAAAGAAAATCCAGAGAGCTTCTGCTTACAGCGACGTTGGCGGTGATGATTACGACGAAAGCCGTTTCACACAATCCCTTCAAAGTTCGAACCCCAGTCCTGCAGGATTCATACTAACTCAGTCCTTTGAAAACTTTGACAAAGTTGACTGTCACGGAGAATAATAAAGTAAAAACTGTGTGGATAAGGTTTGTGCAAAAGAGAGAGAAATAACAGAAACCACAAAATAATTGATTAAAAGGGAAAGTAGTAAAGTTTTTTGAGACGTCACAAAGGAAAAATTTTAAGAAGATTTTTATTTTTAAGGGAAGGAGGGAGTATTTATTTTTATGCTCTTATTATCTGGAAAATTTTAAGAAGATGCTTTTGCAATTGACGCTTTTGCCCTCTGATATTACTGATTTGTCACATTTCATGTTTATGGCATTTGGCAGTTCGGTGTCACATGGGGCCATTTCGTGTCTAAGCGTACGTTTGTCGTAAAAAAAGAACGAATGTCGGATTTAAATTAAATTAAAAATGATTTTATGCTATACGAATAACGCGGTTGCACCAAGAGGTTTTAATGTACATTATTTAATCCATAAGTTTATGTCAGAGACATGCTCTAATGTTTTTCCTAAATGGATACTTTCAATAGTGGACTATTGAGAGTTGTTTTCATTGTATGGCTGGGTTGAAACTAATTCCAATTTTCAAATGTTTTCTTGAATTATGATAAAGTTTTGATGTGAAAAATTAGAATAAAGGAAACCATATCTATATTAAAAAATGATTACACAAGTGATGAGTAATAAGATCCAAATTATATATAAGTAGAACAAAACAATAATTTTGGGAAATAATGGTTTACCCTCTTGGTTGCCTTGACGTTGTATTTATACTAATATCAGTTTAGGAAATTACAAAGTAATCCTTATATAATTACATTATTACACCCCCTCAATCTGTGCAGGGAAAACAACGCGCAGATTGGAACGTAAAAATTCAAAACGCTGACTAGACAAATTTTTGGTAAAAATGTTAGCTAACTGCATCTGAGTAGGAATATACTTCACAACAAGATCGTCATGAGCCACTCGCTCACGAACAAAATGATAATCAATCTGGATGTGCTTGTTTCGATCATGTTGAATAGGATTGACTACAAGGTATGAGGCAGAGACGTTGTCACACTAAAGTTGTACTGGAGCCGAAATGTAGATCCCCATGTTAGCTAGGAGAGACCTGATAAAAGGGTGTCCTGTACAGTATAAGCAATGACCCAGTATTCTGCTTCAGTGGATGATTTGGACACGGCTGGCTGGTTTTTAGACCTCCAAGATATGAGATTTGATCTGAGAAAGACCGCATAACCAGTAGTAGAACGAGAACTGTCAGGACAACCTGCCCAATCTGCATCAGAATGCCATAATAACAGAAATATTTCTGTCAGATTGGAGCCATAGACCGTGAGGTAATGTCCCATGTAAGTACCTGTAAATTCTCTTAACAATCAATAAATGAGCAGTACGAGGAGCATGCATAAACTGTGAAACCAGATGAACAGCATATGTAATATCAGGTCTAGTTATAATTAAATACTGAAGAGCACCTACCATACTGCGATACTCAGTAGCATCAGATAAAAGTTCCACATCTGTGAGAGAGAGGGTGGTACGAGATGGTAGTGGGGTGCGCACAGGCTTAACGGTGTGAAGATGAAAACGATGCAAGAGATCTGAAATATATTTAGCCTGTGACAAAAATAAACCTTTGGGCGTGCGTTTGGCCTGAATGCCCAAGAAATAATGAACGTCACCTAAATCTTTCATGGCAAACTGAAGAGATAATTGGTGAATTACAGATAAAACAAACGACGAAGAAGAACCCGTGATAAGGATGTCATCCACATATAGAAGAATATACACAACTTGTGAGTGAGAGCGGTAAACAAACATAGAAGAATCACCTTTGCTTTGAGTGAAACCCCGACTCAACAAAAAACCACTAAAACGATGAAACCAAGCTCTGGGAGCTTGTTTGAGACCATAAAGTGCTTTTCGTAAACGACAAACATGATTAGAAAAAGATGGGTGAATAAAACCCTGTGGTTGACACATATATACCTCCTCAGTTAAGAAACCATGTAAGAAATCATTTTTCACATCAAGTTGTCGAACAGACCACCTCAAAGAAATAGCAACAGATAAAATAAGACGAACGGTAGTAGGTTTAACCACATGACTAAATGTTTCAGTGAAATCAATGCCGGCCTGTTGTTTAAAACCCTGAGCAACTAATCGAGCTTTATGTCGCTCAACAGACCCATCAGAACAATATTTAGTCTTATAAATCCACTTACAACCAACCATATTTTTAGTGTGATCCCAGGGTACTAAATCCCAAGTTTTTTGGCAATTAAAGCATTAAATTCATCTGCCATGGCTGCCCGCCAAAACCTCACTTTTATTTGCTTGTGTAAAAAAAGTTGGATCATCCGGTGGAGAAAAAACACTTAAAGTAATAATTTGTTTGGGTTTAAAAATATCATCCTTAGCGCGTGTGTGCATGGGATAGATATTGAGAGGAGCAACCGTGGACTGGGGAGGGTTTGTCATGGATAAAGTGCGGTCAGGTGAGGAAAAGGAAGGGTTGTCGATTGGAGAAGGTGTACAGCCAGGTGGGGAGATGGCAGTGGTTGAGGGGCTAGGAGTTGCTGCAGGTGTGGCGTAAGGAGGAGGGGAAATGTCGGCAGGAGATTTGTGAATAGGAGAGGTGGCAGCTGGTGGAGATGCGGGAGAATAAGACTCGATGGTGGTAGTGGGGATAGTTGGGGGCGACGGGTAGAAGTAGACAACCAGGATGAAGTTAAGCCAGAGTCGGGGATAGGGGTGGTAGAGATTAATGAGGAGTATGGAAAGACATTTTCGTGAAAAGTTACATCCCTACTAACATAAGCACGACCAGTTATGAGTGAAAGACATCGGTAGCCCTTGTATCCCGGTGCATAGCCAATGAAGACACAGTGAACAGAGCGAGGTGATAGCTTATTATGAGAGGCAGCAATAAAATTTGGAAAACATGAGCAGCCAAAAACACGCATAAAATTATAATCCGGGATTTTATTAAAAAGTTTTTCATATGGTGTTAAACCATTCAAAATAGGTGTGGGAAGACGATTAATAATAAAAGTAGCAGTGTAAAGCGCATCAACCCAGAATTGACTAGGAACAGATGATTCAATGAGCATAGTCCTAGTTAATTCTAGAAGGTGCTTGTGCTTTCTTTCCGCAACACCATTTTGAGCTGGATTGTCAGGACAGGACTTTCTAAAGAAAATTCCAGATTTTAAAAAATGCTCTCGGAAAATAGTATTGTCAAACTCATCTCCACCGTCACTTTGAAAAAAGTTTATTTTCAAGTTCAAAAAATTTTCAGCTAATCATTGGAAATTGCAAAAATGAGTAAAAACCTCAGATTTTCTACGCATGGGATAAATCCAAGTATATCTATAAAAATCATCAATAAAGGACACATAATATTTAAAACCAAGGTTGGATAAAACTGGCGATTGCCAAACATCAGAATGAATGAGTTGTAAAGGAGCAGTAGAGTCATGAGTAACATCACTAAAGGGAAGTCTGTGGGATTTACCCAACTTACAAGAGACGCAATCATGATTAAAAGAGGAAGAACTAGAAATTAATTTATGCTGCCTAAGCCTAGTAAGAATCCTATCACCACAATGCCCCAAACGCTTGTGCCACACTGGACCAGGAATGACACGGGCTTGAAGGGCATGGAAAGGGTAAACATGGTCTTTATTAATTGCCTAAAGTAGAAGCTCTCCCGTTTGTTTGTCCTTAACAAGAAAAGAATTTTTGTCAAAAATCACTTGACAGGCATTGTCCGCACATAATTTTTGAATTGATAATAAATTGTATTTAATATGTGGCACATGATACACAGAATTTAGATTTAACGGGCGACCATGAGTGAGAAGCTTTAAATGACCAACATGAGAAATAGGCAATTTTGTACCATTTGCAACACACACTTGATTGGGGTCAGTGTAAGGAGTTTTATAAGAGAGAATACCTTCATGTGAAGTCATATGAGCGGAAGCTCCCGAGTCAGGATACCAGACCGAATCATTGTTCTCACCGATAGGAAGGGCAGTCAGAGTCGGGGTATGTGAAGCTGTATAGTGAGAGCAGTATAGGGCCGACATGGAGAAAAACATAACTGACAAACAACTGGGGGGGAGGAGACTGGTAGGATTGATCCACAGGTGGAAAACCTGCATAAGTGGGGTGAGTAACAGAAGTAGAATAATAATCAGTATAATTAATACCATAAATAATATTATACGACGCCGAACCTGGTACCCCGGGGAATGTAGGTGCCCTCGGCTGCAGTGGAGCGGGCTGACCCTGGTAGGCACCGTGCGGCTGTGGTGTTGCGGCTCTATATGGCTGCTGATAGTAGCCCCCTCGGCCACCTCGCCCTTGTCCCCCTCGAGCGCGGCCCCGCGTTGTCCTCTACCGCCACCAGGACCCCTCGGAGCACCCCCACCACGTGGAGCACCCCCTCGGCCTGCATGAGGAGCAGCAAAGGCCTGATGAACCAGGGCCGATTCCTGCGCCTGGAGAAAAAGATTACACTGCTCCTGGGCTTGTAGAATGGGTTGTATGTCTTCAAGTGTAGGGATCCCCGGCATGTAGTCAATGGTGGTGATGAGAGACTCGTATCCATGACCCAAACCAATAATAGCATATTCAATCAAATCACGAGCACTCACAGGAGAATTAATGGTTGCTAAAGAATCTGCTAAAATCTTAATTTCTAGCAAATATTGGTCCATATTCTGGGTGTCCTTCTTTTTCACATGAGATAACTAACGTTTAAGCTCAATGGAACGAGAAATACAAGTAGACATGAACCGTTTCTGTAGTCTATCCCAAATAAGGTGAGAAAATTTTAGGTCATAGACTTCCATTAAAACATCTCTAGCAAGGGTAGCAAAAAGCCATGAACGTACAGTTTGATCAATTTTTAGCCAGTGGTGATAGTCGGGATGTGGGACTACCTGCCTGGATAAATCATACATAGTAGAAGATGGTGTCTGAATAGATCCATCGAGAATACCCATTAAACTGTGAGAGACTAAAAATGATTCAAACCGAGTTCTCCAAGG